CAAAGAAGTGGACAAGATATCCATTTAAAGAGAGAAAAAGAACAAAAAAGAGAGAATCCTGACCTAGAAAACTAGTGGTGCAAAGCCAAGCACACACTCTGGGCCCCCTAAAAAATTCTGGGTAGAGAATGTACCTTCTCAGAAAGAAAAGAGAAAGAAGGAAGGACAAAGCCACCCACTGGCCCTGAGTGCCCAGCCTCTCCCAGGAACCCTGCAAAGGGCCTGGCTCTATCTTCAACATCCCTCTATCCTGGTTGGGTCTAGAAAGGACCCCTAGATCACAAAGCCTCTGCCTTCCCCAATGCAGGGGCCTGACTACGCCTCCCTACCTCCCCTCTTCCCTTTCACCTGCTACTGTCCTTTGGGACTTTTCCAAACAGCAACTTCTGGAGACAGCCAAAGAGATCTCGAATGCAGAAGGTAACCAGGGCGTTGAACACTGCAATGAAGGGACCACAGATGCCATTCACAGGACAGAAGATGGAAGAGAGAGCCTGTATCCTATGTCCTCTCACCCGAGCTCACCAGCACTGTCCGTGACCTGGAATTTGCTGGCTTCAGCACCTTCTTGGTCTCCTTGGGTGGTGACCACAGCAGCTCGGAATGCCTGCACAACTTCATGGAACAGCTTCGGAGTAAGGTGATGCTAAAGGGGTTAAGAGAACCCAAAATGTTGGGGGAGAAATCAGCTGTGTCAAACAGAGCATGAGGCAACCAGAGCTCCAGAAATCTGCTCTATGAGAAAATGGCGCCCCTTGCCCACATTCTGAGACGTGGAAGCAATGTTATGGAGCCACATGCAGGGAACAAAAAAGGAGTCCAGAATGTTCCTGGAAGGGCAGGGAGCCTGGCTCAGGGCCATACGGGAGAGGCTGAGGGTCCCAGATCTGGATGGTGACCTGTGACAGGTGGTATCTAGAATTCTCCCTCTGTCCTTTCCTTTTCCTGCAGAAACCAATGCAAGACCCTGGGAAGAAGGGCTCTGGCTCCACTGACTGGCAAAGGCACAGAGACTATGTCTTGCCCACAGTGGATTTCAGGCAGCAGGGAGCATGAGAGAGAAACTGAGGGGAAGAGAGCAGGAGAGCCCCTAGACTCTCTGACCGAAGGACAGAATGCAATCCTGGAGCCTCTCCGCATAAAGAAAGAATTAAGTGAGATTCTCTGGTGCTAAATAGGACTCCAGTGCCAGTGCTCAGAGAAGGGCTCCTCCCACCTACCTCCTCCCAACTGCACAGATCCAAGTAACTGAAATGAGGCTAGGGCAGACTCCTAAAGCAAGGTGGGGTGGTGGGGGTGTCCAATTGCCCACCCTATGCCACTTCTCACCTTTGCTGCCTGTTTCCATCTCTCAACCATCACAAGGGTCACAGGAGCAGAATCCCTTTTCTTCCCCTTCAGTCCTCTGGGGACCCCATCCTCATCCGCATCTTCCCCCTCCACACTTGCTTCCTGTACCAGACAGAGGGCCAGGCTGGAGCAGGATGCAGAGACCGTAAGTGTGCCCCTGCCCCCACCAATTCTGCCTAGGCCCTCACTTCCAGCATATCTGGCAGAGAGTGGAGCTGCTCCTCTTCATCCTCAGTGCTGTCTGAATCACTAAAGTTCAGCAGGCTCTGGTCGTTCTCCTGCAGGAACTTGTAGAACTCGGGATCTTTGTCCTTCAGCCGAGAGAGCTGGTCCTTATGCTCAGATGCTCGACCTTTATGCCGGCTGAGAAGGCGGGGGCATCAAGTACAATGAATAGGCACAGCCCACAGGGGTGGGGGAAAAGGGATGAGGCTTCCTGTCCTCCACACTGTAAGCTTGCCAGCCTCCACAAAGAAGCTACAGGGCTTGATCTGCAACCTCCACAGCAGCTACTGACAACTGTTGGTTTTCAGCAGATCCCCCTCCCCTAAACTCCAGACTCACATATCCAACAGCCTCTCTACACATGCTTCAACACCTGCATTTCAAACCCAACACATACAACACTGAACTTGTGGTTCTCCCAAACTTGTTCTGCTGGCACTCTGCTCCATCTCAGGTGTCGGTAACCCTACCTTTCCCGGTACTCAAGTGAAAGACAGCCTCTCTATCTCTTACGCCCAGCATGCGAAGTGCCATGAGGTCTCCTCAGCAAAACCCCTTCAAAGCCCCTCATGCATCCTCTTAAACCAGCACCATCTCTCAAGTCCCCCAATTACCACAGTGGTCTCTCCCTATCTCCATACCCACCAACTCCAAGCTATTCTCAACACAGCAACCCAAGTGACCCTTTGTGTTAGCGCCATGTGACATTATTTCACAGCTCAAAACCCTGAGATAACTTCCCATTGTACCGGTATGTCTTATAAACGGCCTGCAAGGTCTGACTCCATCATCATCTCTCCAGGTCCACCTCCTACTACTCTCCCCCTCACTCCTCCTTGGACACTCACCTGTGTAAGATCCGCCCCCACTTCAGGAGCTCTGCTGTTCCTGACACCTGAAACACCGCAGTTTTCTTCCCCTGTCTGCGTGACTTCCTCCCTCAGGTCTCTGTTCAGTTACCACCTCCTCAAAGGTCCTTCTCCACCAAACAGCAACAGGAACCCCCAATACGCTCCCTATTTATCTAACCCTTTGTGTTTTTCTTCACTGTTTGCCACACTTATCTTTTCTAATCTACCATACGTCTGATTCACCCGGGCTGCATGAGTCTTCTAGACCGGAAAAGGACCCTTTCATTATGCACCAACGTATGCCCACCACCTAAAATAAGGTTTGTCGGGGCGCCTGGGTGGCTCAGTTAGGCGTCTGACTCGTGCTTGCGGATCGGCTCAGGTCGTGATCTTGGGGTAGAAGGCTCCGCACTCAGCCGGGAGTCGCTTGCGATTCCTTCTCTCCTCCCTCTGCCACTGCCCACCGCGCCCCCCGCGCTCGGTCTCTCTCCCAAATAATCTTTTTAAAATGTAAGTAAATAAAACAAGGCTCGTCACAGAGCAAGGCCTCGGCAAACGCCGGAAGCAGGAGTGAATAAGCCGAAGGGTCTGGGGGAGGGGCCGGAGGTCCCCGGGCTTCAGTCCTGAGACCCCAGGAGTGATCCCCACCCACCCGACGGGGCGGGCCGGGGCAGTGGAAAGGGTTTGGCTTTACAGACGCTCCTCCCACCTGGGCGAGGGGCTCCCGCCTGGCCCGTCCGGTCTCCGGTCGGCTCCAAACACCGCCCGCGCCTCTGCTTCTGGGGCTCCTCCGGACTCCGAGTCAGACTCAGAATCAAAGCCCGAAGCCAAGAACTCGTCCACTGTCAGTTCCGCCAGGCGCCTGCGGGTTACGACGTCGCAGTCAGGACTCCCCGCCAGCCCGGCATGCCCCCGCCTTGCTGCACCAGGAACACGGAGATGCGCGAGGAGAGCCCCTTTGGGTACAGGCGCCCACCGGAAGGCCGAATTGGTCCTCACACCTCCACTTACCGCTTGCCACCCCGCGCCGCCGCCATTACCCCCAGACAGCGGCGTGCGCCCCACTTCCGGCCCCAGAATGCGTCCCTTGGCCGCACTTCCTCCGGGCCCGCCCCGCCCCCGGGCCCGCCCCGCCGCGCCCCACGGGTGGCTTTCAGTTTCTCTAACGGTGGCTCTGGCGGCATCCAGGCGGGAGGGCGCGTTCCCATCCTCTGTGCTCCGGGCTCCCAGGGGCTCCCAGGGTGGCAGGCCGGATGCAGGCTAACGGCGCAGGCCTGGTTCAGTCACGGTTCCGCACACATGCTGAGCGTCGGGCTGTAGATCTCGAAAATCGGGCAGGACTGCATAGGGTGGAACCCTGACCTGCTGCTCACAAACTGTGTCCTTCCCGGTCCGAGGGAGTAATAGCGGCACCTATCTGAGGGAAGGTGAGGCATGGGGCCTGGGGCACCCTCTCCCAGCCCTGCCCACAGCCTCCCAGAGCTCCATAAGCACGTGCCTGTGGGGATGTCCATGCACGACAAAATGCATCCAGGTGAAAACATTTGACAGACAGGACTTCTATGCAAAGAGCTCTTACAAATCAATAATAAAGAGCCAACAGTCTAGCAGGAAAAGCAGTCTAGTAGAATAGGCAATGCCATGGGGCGGGGGGGGGGGGGGGGGGGGGGGGGGAATTCGCCAAAAAAATGATACTCTGATGGCCAGGCCGGTCTCGACTGGATCAAATGAGGATCAGAATGATGAGAATCACTTCTACTTCACTGGACAATCCACAGCAAGGGGTGGGGGGCAGTGGACAGATCCCAGAGCTGTTATTGAAGCCCGTTTGGCCAAATCTTCCCGAAAGTACTGCACCTGATACTTGGGTCCACCGAGTCCTCTGCTGGGAATTTGCCTAAATCCACAATATGGGGCCGGGCAGGCATGGCCCCTTTTCCTTTGCCCCGGCTGTGGGAAGGGCAGGTACAAAGGCCCAGTGGCTGGAAGGTTGCCTTGCTAGAAGAAAGGAGGTGGGAAAACCAGATTATGCCCTCCTATCCCCCCCACCCCCAAGGGCAAGGGTTTGTGGTCCTGGGACCCCAGATCCCACAGCCTTCTTGGAAGCAGGCGTGGCTCCTGGCAGGTCCCCCAGACCCTGCGCCCCCACCCCATCCCACCCTACCACCACCACCCCACCCCACCCCACCTCCCCGCAGCTAGCGCCCAGTTCAAGGCCTGGTACGTGTAGGGGTTCATGGGGCGAACCCAGCAAAGGCCAGCCAGGCAAAGTGGTCTGTCTGGGGTCATAAAGGGGGCGAGGCAGGATGTGGTACCGGGCTGCCTCAGGCCCCAGGGGCAGCAGGGCCTTCCCAGCTGCGGGCCCAGGGTGCTTACGGGGGCGGGGCTTCTAAAATGAATTGGCGGGGATGGATGGTCCGGGAGGCTTCTCCGAGGTAGGCGGCGGGGGGGCCCCAGGGGCTTCCTGGAGGAGAAAGCGGGCGGGGCGCCCGGACATTGACTGGGAGGATTGGAGTGCTGTGTTCAGTCCCCGAAGACGCGGGGAGCGCGGGAGGCGGGGCGGGCGGCGCCGAGAAACAGCGGCTGCGGGCGGGCGGCGGGAGCGAGGGACGCTGAGCGGGCCGCCACCGCCTAGCAGCCCTCCAGCAAGTCAGTACGTCCGTTCGCCTGTGTGTTCTCCGCGGGTCGCGGCGGGTCCGATAGCCGAGCCCATGCAGCCGCGCAGCGAGCGCCCGGCTGGCAGGACGCAAAGCCCGGAGCACGGCAGCCCGGGGCCCGGGCCGGAGGCGCCGCCGCCGCCACCGCCGCCGCAGCCACCGGCGTAAGTGGGCCGAGGGGCTGGGGACCGTAAGCCGGACCGGGGGCTGAGTGGGTCCGGGAAGGAGACAAGGAGGGGCGTGCGCCGACCCTGGCTGGCTGCCCGGAGGAGGCGGCCTCGGCGCCCCGCAGGCTCGGCCCGCCGGTGGAGGGTACAACTGCCCCTCTGTTTATCGCGCACACAGCGACGTGGGACAGGGCGTCCAGAGGTGGCTGCTTCCTGGAGGCTCTGTCTTCTCCCGCCGCCCTTGAATTCCGGCTGCGCTTAGACTTAGGCGACTTGTCTGCAGGATGGGGGGCGGGGGGGGGGGGGGTGTTGAGCTGCTCCCGAGGGTCAAGTGAGGTTAGACCTGCTGGTGGGCATAGGGGTCTTCTTCAGAGCTGTCATGAAGCATTAGCCAGTCGCACTTCATGCACATCCTGTGTGCCCAGCCGGTGCTGAGGACACTGGACTCTGATGGGGAATGGGAAGGGTGGCCAGTGACAGAGGAGCTCCTGGTCCCAACGAGGGCAAAGGGAACCTGGTTCTTAGGAGAGTTACAGGCAGAGAAATCCTATTCTATGGGGACCCTTGGGCAGAGGGGTCCTGGCAGAGGAAGCTGTGTAGGTTCAACCATGGCATCAGGTGTGTGACTGGACCTCATGCTAGGAGCAAGTGTGGAGCAGTCCAAGGAGGCTCCCTGTATGTGAGGGAGAAGAGTTAGCGGGGAGGGGGGGGGGGGTCCTTGAAGGAAGCCAGGTATGGGCTGTCAGGGAGAAGGGTGGCCTCCTAGGTGCCCTGGCCCTGCCTACGGTTTCAGGGGTGGGTGAGCAGCTCCCTGCAGAGTGCACCTGACCTGGCACTGCCCATCTGCAGCCCGGAGGCAGAGCGCGCACGTCCTCGGCAGGCCCGGCCCACGGCCCCAATGGAGGGTGCAATGCAGCTGCTGAGCCGTGAGGGCCACACTGTGTCCCACAACTCCAAACGGCACTACCACGACGCCTTCGTGGCCATGAGCCGCATGCGGCAGCGTGGCCTCCTGTGTGACATCGTCCTGCACGTGGCGGCCAAGGAGATCCGAGCACACAAGGTGGTGCTGGCCTCCTGCAGCCCCTACTTCCACGCCATGTTCACAAGCAAGTACCACCACATCCAGTCTGGGCACTCGGGGGGCTCCACAGATCTCCCAGGGCAGGGACCGGCCTGACCTGCTGTCCCCACAGATGAGATGAGTGAGAGCCGCCAGACGCACGTGACACTGCATGACATTGACCCTCAGGCCCTGGACCAGCTGGTGCAGTTTGCGTACACGGCTGAGATTGTGGTGGGCGAAGGCAACGTGCAGGTGAGGCCGCCTCATCTCGCGTCGCATGCCTCTACTGGGCCCCTGTGCCTCAGCTCCCCGTGTTTCCTTGTGCCTCTCCCTCGGTTCCTCATGTCCCGGTTCCCTGTCCCTGCTCCCCTGGCTCTCTCTGTCTCATCTCACCCCACAGACTCTGCTCCCAGCTGCCAGCCTCCTGCAGCTGAATGGCGTCCGTGACGCCTGCTGCAAGTTCCTACTGAGTCAGCTCGACCCCTCCAACTGTCTGGGCATCCGGGGCTTTGCTGACACGCATTCATGCAGTGACCTGCTCAAGGCAGCCCACAGGTACGTGCTGCAGCACTTCGTGGATGTGGCCAAGACTGAGGAGTTCATGCTGTTGCCACTAAAGCAGGTAACATGCCAGCTGGGGCACGGCCTTGACTCTGACCCAGTCCCTGGACCCTGGACCCCAGACCCAGCCCTTGGACTCCTGGCTCCCTTCATCTTGGCCCTTAAGACCTGGTCCTTTGGCCCCCAACCCTCATGTCCAGCCTCTGACCCACATTCCTGCCTCACTACCCATCCCTTGCCCTCTCCCCACCCTACCCCCACCTCACCCCCTTTTTCTGACCCACCCAAACCTTCAACTTTTGACTTTTGATCCCATCCTGTCCTGACCACATCCCTGCCTACAACCTCCAGGCCCTGGTTCTACATCCCTAGGATTGTTCTGGGCCTAGGCCCCCAGGAACCAAATCTGTGGTTCCTGACCCTGCTTGGCCCCTTCTCATAGGAACACTGGGCTCCCCATTGGACTCTCCCTCCTGGGCACCTTCAGGGCTCCTTGGGCCCCCAAGATCCTCCCTAGATCTCAGGTCCGAGGGTCCCCACCCCCAGGTGCTGGAACTGGTCTCTAGCGACAGCCTGAACGTGCCTTCAGAGGAGGATGTCTACCGTGCCGTCCTGAGCTGGGTCAAACATGACGTGGATGCTCGGAGGCAGCACGTCCCAAGGGTGAGGCCAGTGCCTAGGGGGCCCTCTGTGCCTAGGAGGGGATGCAAGGTGGCTGAGGGCCTGGGTGCTGCACTTGGGCTCTGCCATGTCCAGGATATACAGTGGCTGAGGGCCTGGGTGCACTTGGGCTCTGCCATGTCCAGGATACACAGTGGCTGAGGGCCTGGGTGCACTTGGGCTCTGCCATGTCCAGAAACCCCCTCACAGGAGTGATGCAGACACATGTTTCAAGAAGGGTCCAGCGTGTCTGAGGGGGATCTCTTCACTGGGGCCTGCCACCTGACTGTGGCACCCCTCCACCCCAGCTGATGAAGTGTGTGCGCCTGCCCCTGCTGAGCCGGGACTTCCTGCTGGGCCACGTGGATGCTGAGAGCCTGGTGAGGCACCATCCTGACTGCAAGGACCTGCTTATTGAGGCCCTCAAATTCCACCTGCTGCCTGAGCAGAGGGGTGTTCTGGGCACCAGCCGTACACGGCCTCGGCGCTGTGAGGGCGCTGGCCCTGTGCTCTTCGCTGTGGGTATGTTCACCTGTCATGTCTCCTCATGTCTGGGCCCCTCCCCCACATACCCTTCCTCTCCCCTCCCATTCCTGGCCTGTGCTTTCTATCTGTGACCCCAGCACAAGCCTGTCTCACACTGTGCCGGTCACATCCTGTACCCGCCCCGCACCTGCTCTTCTGTCCACCTGTGGAGGACCCCATGTGGTATGACCCACTCAGCAATCCCCATCCCCACCCACCTTGGAGCCTCCATACTCTTGACCTTGAGCTGCGCTAGAGACCCCCAGCCATTGCCTCCCTGGTCCCTTGTCCTGCCCCGTCACCTCCCCTTTCCTAGGTGGTGGGAGCCTGTTCGCCATCCACGGGGACTGTGAAGCATATGACACACGCACTGACCGCTGGCATGTGGTGGCCTCCATGTCCACGCGCCGGGCCCGGGTGGGCGTGGCGGCAGTTGGGAACCGGCTGTATGCTGTGGGTGGGTAAGTGCGGAGGCTGGTTTGGGGTCGGGGCTTAGCATGTGCCACTGGGCCAGTCCTGACCGGCAGCGGACCCCTCCCCTAGTTACGATGGGACTTCAGACCTGGCCACCGTAGAGTCGTACGACCCTGTGACCAACACCTGGCAGCCCGAGCTGTCCATGGGCACAAGGCGCAGCTGCCTGGGCGTGGCTGCCCTGCATGGACTCCTGTATGCAGCTGGTGGCTACGATGGGGCCTCCTGCCTCAACAGGTAGCGGCCGGGTCAGGGCCGGGTGGCCTCTCGGGGTTGGTTCGGCTGCAGGAGTGGCTGCACCCGGACTGCAGAGATCGTGCCTGAAGGGAGCAAAGAGGGACCCAAGCTGACTCAAGTCACCGGGCACCCTGGGCCTCTTCACCTGCACCAACCCAGCTGCCCCTTCTTTCCCTCTCAAGTCCTTCCCACCAGCCCCGGGGCTGGGCACCACATGGACACTTGCCCAGGATCATGCAGGCCACCAGCTAGGGGCCCACATCCCCCCCCAGAGGGCCTGCTACTTGCTCCACTGGGATTCTGGGGTCAGTCTCTGTGACTGGCCAGGATGGGATTTTAATCATTCCATGGGGGAGGGCCGGCCGTGGGTCCAGGGCAGCCTTTCTGCCACTGCTCAAGGTCAGCGGCAGGCCTGGTGTCCACAGTGCTGAGCGTTACGACCCTCTGACGGGAACATGGACCTCCATCGCCGCCATGAGCACCCGGAGGCGATACGTGCGTGTGGCCATGCTCGGTGGGTAACAGGGCCTGCTCTATGTAGTGTCCACCCCACCCCCACCCCTACCTGCCCCCCCCCCCCCGGAGACCCCACACATAGCAGGCACACCACGGGCACGTTGACTGTCTGCAGATGGGAACCTGTATGCCGTGGGTGGTTACGACAGTTCATCACACCTGGCGACTGTGGAGAAGTATGAGCCCCAGGTATGAAACACACCCCAATCACATGAATTTCCCTTCCAAGAGCTACTTGAGGTCATTGCTCTGGTCACCCACATCACCCAGATGATCAGCCCTCTAGGTCCCACCCCATCCCACAGATACCCTATCCTGGAGTAGGGTTCTTGCACTGTAGAGAAGGAGGGAGGCTGGTGATGGGTCTGCCCCCAGCTGGTCCCTTCAACCGCAGGTAAACGCATGGACCCCCGTGGCCTCCATGTTGAGCCGACGAAGCTCAGCAGGGGTGGCGGTGCTGGAGGGAGCCCTCTACGTGGCCGGCGGCAATGATGGCACCAGCTGCCTCAACTCTGTGGAGAGATACAGCCCTAAGGCCGGTGCCTGGGAGAGTGTGGCACCCATGAACATCCGAAGGTGCGCCGGCCCCTCCCCCACAGGCCTGGAGTGTCCCCGTGTCCCCAGCACCCACCCCAGACACAGATCTGTCTTAAGGCCTCCAGCCGGCGTCGTGTGTCCACGCCTCCCATCAGTACGCACACCAACCAGCCCCAGGGCCCCGCCCCCGGAGGCTCCTCCCGTGGCCCCGCCCCCGGAGGCTCCTCCCGTGGCCCCGCCCCTGGAGGCTCTTGGAGTTCCGCCCCCGCGGCTCACCGCCCCCCTCCCCACCCGCAGGAGCACGCATGACTTGGTGGCCATGGACGGCTGGCTGTATGCCGTGGGGGGCAACGACGGCAGCTCCAGCCTCAACTCCATCGAGAAGTACAACCCGAGGACCAACAAGTGGGTGGCCGCGTCCTGCATGTTCACGCGGCGCAGCAGTGTGGGCGTGGCGGTGCTCGAGCTGCTCAACTTCCCGCCTCCCTCCTCCCCCACGCTGTCCGTGTCGTCCACCAGCCTCTGACCCGCGGCGCGGACTGCACAGAGGCCCGGCCCCGCGGCCTCCCACATGCCTTAAGCCGCACAGGGCGGCCCCAGCGCCTCACGTGTCGGGGGCAGGGTGCTCGGCCCCCACCAGGAAAGTCCTGCCCTGTCTGTCCTTGTCTCTGCGTCGAGGCCGTCCGTTTCTGTGTTCATTTCTCAGTGTTTGTTTATGTGTGTGCCGTTTATTTACTTACTGGTTTGTTTATTTATTATTTATTGAACGATGAGCAGCGCAGCACTAACTAGTTTACACGTTTCCCCTTGAAGTGTCCTGTGTCTCTGGGACCAAGCTGCCTTCCCAGGTGTCCTCCTGCCCCACTGGGGGCACCAAGGAGCGATGGGGGTGGACACTTGCATTGCGCATGGGTCAGAGGCGAACTCAGACCTGTAGACCTGGAGGGACTGAAGGGGCAGGTACTGAGCAGCAGGCCAGGGTTAGTGGGGTGAGGGTTTTCTGAGCAGGTGCAGACCCTTCCAGCCTGGGCTTTGCACACCACCCCTACCTTGCCCAGCCAGGCACGCTCCCAAGAAGGGCATGAAGCAAGCTTCCTTCTCCTGGGCATGGGGTCTCTTCTGGATCCTGCACTGAGCTGAGCACAAGCGTGCCACAGACCCCACATAGCAATATGAGCCAACTTGAACAATAAACATGTTTCTTGGGCTCTGTGGGCTTGAGGCTGAGTGTACATCTCCACCCTTTGGGGTCTTATCTGGGGTGACCAGGAGGGCCTGGGGACAGCTGTGCAGCTGGGCTGAGGCTCTGCTTTGGCATCTGGGGGCTTTGAGGCAGCATCATCACGTCCAGGTGGGTCAGGGATGTGATGTCGTGGATGAGCACCCAACCAGGAGTGTGGTTCGCTGTCGGCCTGGTCCTGAGAGGCCCTCGTGGTCCCATCTCATCCCAGGCTCTGGAGAGAGGGGAGTGCACGTACTACCCCTACCTCACCATGATGGTCCCGGGTGCACCCAGGAGGTTTGTGGCCTCCTTCTTGGACTTTGGCCTGGGGTGAGGTTTCGGCTGAAGCAGGAGAAGTTGGGGGAGGGTCCTGGCTTCCCCTTCCCCAAAGTCATAAATTCCTGTTTTAGCAGCTGAAAGCAAGCACACACCCCCTTGCAGTCAGTGGTGACTCAGACCGTGGCATTGAGGTGGAAACAGGATGTGTACTCTCCATGGGGAGGGGTGGTATTGGGGGGAGGGAGCCCTAGGCTCACAGAGCTCCAGCCCTAGGCAACCCCAGGCAACCCCAGGCAACCCCAGCCTGAGTGCGGGCGGGCCAAGTACTCACAAACCTGGCCTTTGAGGCTCCTCCCATACAGACTGGAGGCTGAGATGGGTTTTCTTGGCTGGACCAGGGGAGAAGACTCCTCCTCCCCCACCCCCCCACCCCCCATCCCCCAGCGACTTCAGACTGGCCTGCATGTGTGGGGGACCCAGGTCAGAGAACTGAAAGGCTTGGGCCAGGTGAGGGGCGGGGCCCTCCCAGAAAGGCTCCACCCTCGTCCGGCCCTTAGGCGTAGGGCAAGACTTCCCAGAGCTCTGCCTGGGAGGCGGGACAGGAGGCTCAGTACAGAGGGACCCAGACCTGTCGACCTGCTCAACTTGGGCCCGCCGCCACCGCCGCCCATGGGGAACAGCCACTGCGTCCCTCAGGCCCCTAGGAGGCTCCGGGCGTCCTTCTCCAGAAAGCCTTCGCTGAAGGGAAATAGGTGAGGGGGGGTGGGGAACCCAGCCTTGGTCCCTAGGTCACAGGGGTGTCCCTCAGTCTGCCTCGGGGGCCAGGCTGTGAGCTCCCCCCTTCCCTTATCCCCAGAGAGGATGGTGCAAGGAAGCTGGCTGGCCTGTTTGGCTCCGAGGCCGGTCCTGACCTGGACGCCACTGCTGACAAGATCTTCTACTACATCCCTGGGACGGTGAGCAGGCGGGTGGGCGTGTCCCAGCTCACAGCGTCGCGGTGGCGGTGGTCTCTGTGTGACTGTGTGTACCTGTCCTATCTTCACTCAGCTCAGGGTCTTCCCCTGTCAGCCTGGGTGGGAGTGAGATCCAGCACGAAGTGAGGAAGTAGACACTGCCCCGCCCTGGGGAGCTCATCTGGCCGAAAGTCTGAGCGGAGAGCGAAACTGAGAGACACTGAGTCAGTGGGGTGAGGGAGCACCCGGCAGAGGCGGGCCACAGGCGGGGCCTCCAGGAGTCTCTGCTACACCAGAGGGGGCACCATGGCCAGGCTACCCACTCAGAACCATGCCTGGGGTGTCTGCCCGCCCCCACCCTGGACTTGGGTGCGGGACAGCATGCCCAGGCACAATCGAGGTGGACCAAGCACGTATATGTGTGTTGCTGTGGCTGCCATCGCTCTGAGAGAGTAAGGGGCTTCAGGTGAACCGTGAGCCAGCCCAGGCCTTAGGTTCTCCTGGGGGGGTCTCGGCATCCACCACTGCCTCATTCCACAGCAGCCTGCTGTGATTCCCCCCTACCAAGGCCACACAGCAAGGATGTGGCTCCCACATGCTAGGCTACCTCTGAGCTGAACACTGGCCCCTCTCACCCTGCCCAGCTCCTGAGGGGCTAAGGGTTAGCTGAGAGGGGAGAGACACCCAGCCCTTTTCCCTAACCTGGATAGCATTGGGTATGGTGGGAGGCTCTGCTATCTGCAAAAGCCCCAGAATGTGAGGGAAATGATACCCCAATATCTTACCCCAGGCCAGAGAAGGAGGAACATTTGTCACTCTGGGTCAGGGATCCCACCCTGCACTCTTCTCACACTGTTCCTTTGAGACCTAGCAACTGGTGGGGGCTTCCAGAGCCCACCTTTCCAGCTAGTTCCCATCAGGCTGGGAAGCCCAGGCCTGTCCCCTTTCCTGCCCTCTGAGGTCCCAGGGCTCCCTGCAGGCAAGTGCTGGTTTGAGAAACCATGCTGCTCCAGAGAGGTGGACAGGGCACATCTGTCCAGGGTCTGGCTGGACTGCGATAGAATCCCTCCATGTGACTGTATCTCAGACCTCAACTCTGTCCAAGCCCGGGACACATCATGTGACCCTGGTGGAATCGTGTGAGATGCGGTGGCCCCGGTGGTCCTCACTTGCCAAGACATAGTAGCAGGAGAGGGGAGCAGGCCTGTTGAACCTGGGAGGGGAGGGGCGCCAGGGGAGGAGCCACTTCTTAGGCCCTGCCCTATGGTGGGTTCTGCACCTACAAATGAGCCAGCCCTGCCAAGGCTCTAGGCTGACTCCTCCCTAAGCCCTAAGGCTGAGCCTGGGCCACAGGAACAGCTACATGGCCCTTCCTGTTCATGGCCTATTTTTCATGGGTCCCATCCCCAAGTTGTTCCCCACACTGGGTGTGGGTACAGGAGGCCCCACCCAGAGGCAGGGAAGCCTCACATTCCTGGGCTTGCCCAAGGGGCAGCTTAGCTTGGCCAGGGCTCAGCAGCCCTCAAGGCAGCCCCTGCCAGCACCCAAGTGGAGCATGGCTCCTCCCCAACTCACCCCTGAGCCCCTAGACCTCAGCCCTTCTAGCCAGGATGTCAGGTCAGTACCCATCCCTATCTGACTTCCAATCTGATGATCAAGGCCCTGATTAGAGAGGATTCTCTGTGTGGCAAGATTGGCTAAGTGTTTGTGGGCCCCAACACTCCCTCCCCTCAGCAGACAAGCATCGAACCCCCAGCACATCTCAGGCCTGGCCTACTTCTGGGGATACAGCAGTGGGCAAAACAGACAAAGACCCTGTTCTCTTGGTGTTCCCATCTCCGTGACAGAACCAGGTGATAAGACAGGTAAAAGATACGATAAGCCAGAAGTGGCTAGTGTTGAGAAAAATAAAGGAAGAAAGGTGTGCAGAGGGGTCAGGGAAGGCTACAATGTTAGGTTATCCGGACAGGACCTCACGGAGAAGGTGACATCCGAGCCATGTCCTGATGGTGAGAAGAGAATGGGACTGAGTGGTGTGGGCAGAGGGAATGAGTATAGAGGCCCCAAGGCAGCCTGTGCCTGATGTGGGCAAAGAGGACTGGGCGGGGGGCAGATCAAAGAGGACCCCTGGGGCCATTGCCAGGACCTCAGTCTTCTCTGTGGGTGAGGTTAAGGGGCCTGCTGCCGTGTGCTGACACAATCAACATTCGCTCTCAAGGGCTGATGTGATGCATCTCTTTCCAGCTCCCCACTAACTGACGTGCTGGTAGCTTGAAATGGGCCCTGGTGGGAATATTAACATGGAAACACCCCCACACACACCCTGTGGAACCAGGTATTAAACACAGCCGACACTAGAGGCATGGGAGAGCTTTGAGCATCATCTCCCTCAGACACCCCAAAACCCTTCTGACCAACAAGTCTTGGGAGGCTGAATAATCAAAACACAGGTGCACAGGAGATATCAAAAATACGGGTCGAATGTCCATTGAGTTAAGACTTCGCCACCTCTACACTAGATTATGTAATGTTATGACAGCTCATATGTGTATGCTGCCACCATTTCCATATTAAGAGGCTGTGAGTGCGTATTGGGGTTCTGTACCTATGAGTGATGGTGTGGGTATGTTCCTAACCTTTGTATTATGTAACTGTGGGTGTGTGTATGGGTGGGGCAGCTGGCCCCAGGTCAGACGCCCCCCTCCCTGAGCTCTGCTCCCCACAGGACATCCGGGGCCTGGAGAGCCAGCGAGAAAACCTAGAGCAGCCGTTCCTGAGTGTGTTCAAGAAGGGGCGGCGGAGGGTGCCTGTGAGGAATCTGGGCAAGGTTGTACACTATGCCAAGGTCCAGCTACGATTCCAGCATAGCCAGGTGGGGCCAGGCTGGGCCGAGTCGGGGGGTGTGTGGGTACCAGCCTGGGGCCTGGCCCCCAGCCCCTCAGACCAGCAGCCCTGCTTTCCCCCAGGACATCAGCAACTGCTATCTGGAGCTGTTCCCCTCCTACCTCTACTTCCAGGCCCATGGTTCCAAAGGACTCACCTTCCAGGTGAAGGGAAATGGGCAAAGGGAGGAGTCTAGGGGTAGAAGGAGAGAGCAGCCTCTTGGGAGGTGGGTATCCATGTCTCACTAGGGGTCCGCCAGCCCTCCCCTTCCCCCATGTGCTCTGGCAGGGGCTGTTACCACTGATGGAGCTGAGTGTCTGCCCGCTTGAGGGGTCCAGAGAGCATGCCTTCCAGATCACAGGTGTGTGGGGGGCATGAGTGGACTTGGCCCCCAGGAGGGGCCTCAGCTGGGGCTGCTCAGCGGCCTTGGCCTTGGGCTGAGCTTCAGAACCCTGGAGGGACCCTGGCTTTTCCTCCAGTGGGCACAGGAGCTTTTGCCAAGCTGGGGTGCAGGACGGTGGGCAGGAGACCTCCAGAGCTGTGAATGCGGCCCTGTTAGTGGCCGATGGTCCCAGATGGTGCCACAGGGTCCTCCTGTCCCGGGCCCCGGGGTGCCCATGGAACCCTTGGGTGGGGCCTTTCCTGTGGGCTGAGGCCCAGCCCACTCCACCCCTCTACCCCCAGGCCCGCTGCCTGCTCCCCTTCATGTGCTCTGCCCCAGCCAGGCTGAGCTGGGCCTCTGGCTGTACCACCTGGAAAAGCAGATAGCCCTCATGGGAGGGCTGCAACATTGCCACTCAGCACCCCCACAGGTCAGTCCTGGGAACCCCCACACCCCCTTCCCGTGCCCCTGTGCCAACACCCTCCGCTGCCCCTGACCCCCCTTCACCAGGGCCCCCCTGAGGACGAGCTGCCCTGGACCCTGCAGCGCAGGCTGACCCGGCTACGAAAGTCATTAGGGCATCAAATGGTGGGCAGCGCCGTCTGTGCCTCGAGGGTCAAGCTGCAGCATCTGCCCTCACAGGTGCGTGGGGCGGGGGGTGGGCAGTACCCAGGGGTGAGAGGAGATGGGGCCATGGGAGTGAGGACATGGGGGCACAGGGTGGGTGGGAGGAGATGGAGGGGTGAGGACACGGAGGAGGGGTGAGGAGATAGGGAAGGGGGGTGAGAACATAGGGGCACAGGGTGGGTGGGAGGAGATGGAGGGGTGAGGACACGGAGGAGGGGTGAGGAGATAGATAGGGAAGGGGGGTGAGAACATAGGGGCACAGGGTGGGTGGGAGGAGATGGAGGGGTGAGGACACAGAGGAGGGGTGAGGAGATGAGGGAGGGGTTCAGGAGGCAAGTGGGGGCCAGGCCCTCACACACACTAGTCGAGCCCCCACTCTGCCCTTTGACCCCCTCACAGGAGCAATGGGACCGGCTCCTGGTCCTGTATCCAACATCCCTGGCTATCTTCTCCGAAGAAGCAGATGGGCTTTGCTTTAAGGTGGGTCCCTCCCCACTGTGGGCCCGCCCGGGAACCGCCCTGTGTGTGGGGGTGGGAGAGGGCAGCGGCTCAGGAGGAACCTGTATTTCGGGGCCTGTTGAGACAGAGTGTGCTGGCCCCACCCACCCGGCCTGCTGCCCTGGTCAGTCTGGTCTCAGCTGTGATGTGGCCAAGGAGGGGTCCCTGCATAAATATCGCTTATCATCCTAGAGGGTCCTCCACCCTCAGCAGGACCATCACCTGGGGCAGGTGGCATGGGGGCAGGACCACTCCTGGGAGACACTCTTGTGCTGGGCCTATACCTCTGAGTGGACATTTTCCTGGCGCCTGAGGGGCGTGTGTGTGTGTGTGTATGCGTGTGTAGGAGCGTCCTCTGGGGCTGGAGTGTGTCTGTTGTGTGCATCACAGTAACTTTCTACTCTGGGGGTGATCATGGCCTTCAGTCGCTGAGAAAAATGCAGGAGTCTTCCGCATAACTCCGTCCCAACCTACCCCCAGTCTTAGTAGGTGACCCAGGGGACCGGTCCCCAGAGGCATCCATCTGTGCCTGCCATTGGCTGATGAAGGCCCCACCCAGAGCCCAGGGGTAAAGAGATCCCTCAGGACAGACAGGGAGCGCCGGCCCCCCTCAGGGATGTCAGCCTCAGCCCTGTCTCGCCCCCTGCCTTGCCCTCTGCCTGCTGTCTGGAGGCCCAGCCCAGCTCTGGAGGGTGAGACAGAAGTATGGGCCCAGGCAGAGGCACAGGGTTTTGCCCCCAGACTCAGGCCCCATCTTCCATCACTGCCCCCACAGGGGGAGCTCCCACTCAGCGCCATCCGCATCAACCTGGAGGAGAAGGAGAAGCAGATCCGTTCTTTCCTGATCGAAGGTGGGCAGAGGCCTGGCCTGGGCGGGGGGGGGGGGGGGCATGAGCCTGGTGGGTGCCCCAGCTCTTCAGTGGGGCCTTGCAGGGGGCTTTCTGCTTGCCAGGCCCCCTCACGGTGTCTGTGTGCTAGGCCGCTTCATCAACACTATCCGTGTGGTGTGTGCGAGCTACGAGGACTACAGCCATTGGTTACTGTGTCTGCAGACCATCTCGCCCAGGGATGGAGCCGCCCCTCTGGCGGGCCCTGAGAGCTTCGCAGGCCCACGGGTGTCCACACAGGTGAGGGGTCAGCAGGGGGAGAGGCTGCCCCCACATCTCACGTCTGGGCAGAAGGGTAGGTCTAGGGTAGGGGCCCTGCTCTCTGTCTCACCTCCTCGCTCCCTGCCCCCTGCTGTCCAGGTCATGGGTGGTGGCCGAGGCTCACTCTCCTCAGATGGACAAACAAGCTGGGACTCCCCCTCCACCCACACCAGCCCCTCTGTCCCTGAGTCCTCAGTGCCATCCACCACCCGCTGCCCTGCCCAGGCTGTACCTGTGAGTATCAGGGGCTGGGGAGGGACAAACAGAAGAAAAGGGCAGGAGGTCATGAGGACAACCTGCCTGGGTCCCCATGGCACTCCATCCCAGGCAGGACCTGGAGGGAACTGTGTGCAGCCTCAGAGGACTGAGTGGGTGAGGGCCCTTGGGAACCTTCTGAAAGGTCTTTGGTCCCCACAGGACCAGGCCAACCCGGGCTGCACCAGCGTCAGCAGGCAGAGGGCAGAACTGAGATGGAGCAGCATCAGCCAGTCACCCAGGAGTAAGGCCCGGGGTGAGGGGCCCAGCCTGGCCACCTCGTTGTACTTGGACCTGACCAAGGTGGGCCCAGGACACTGACCCAGTTCTCCCTCCCACCCTCCACCTCCCTGGCCTCCATCTCTCAGGCCCAGGTTGTCCTGGAGCCCACCTAGAGGCCTTCTTGCACAGAGAAGGGAGAACTCAGGCCACCTCCAGCTCCAGGAAACCTGTCTCTTCTGCCTCTTGCCTGCAGCTGAGCAGGCAGAGCCTAGAGGACAACCCTGAGGCCCCAGACCACCCTCTGAAGACCCCACACTCCCCACTCTATGCTGATCCCTACACACCACCTGCTACCTCCTACCACAAGATCACAGACGTCCAGGGCCTGGATGAGGTCAGTTCCCTGTGGGTGACAGAAAGGGCTAGATGTGTCCACAGCCTGAGGTGTGCTCAGGTCATGATGAGTGGCCAAGGGGTTCTGGGGGCAGGGATCCCTCAGCTCCATGGAGGTTCTGGTCCAGGGCCTCAGGTCCCCATCCCTTTCCTGGCAGTTCCTCAGCGCAATGCAGAACTCACTTGGACCTGAGTCCTCGAGCCCCTTCCCCTCGGTCCCTGTGTCTGTGCCTGTCTCTGACCCCAGCTCTGGACTCTCCGGTCCCCACTTGCTCTCCAAGAAGGGAGCCCTGCAGCCCAGAGCCTCTCAGCGGCACCGAGGCTCCATCAAGGGCCGGGGGCCACCACCCCCAGACTCCCCTCAGCATGTGAGTAGCAGCCCCCACCCCTGCCAGGTAAAGGGTTCTGTGGAGAGGTGGAGGTAGTGTGGGGGCTCTGGGACCCTGGGGGAGCAGGAGAGATGGAAACAGGAAGATAGGGTGAGCTGAGACCAAAGACAGGAAGCAGTGCTGGGGAGGGGTGGGGCAGGTAGAGGCAGGAAGGGAAGATCCACAACCAGGAGGAAAAGGTAGGGCTAGGATCTGGCAGCTTGGTGGGCTGGTCTCCAAGCCTCCTCCCCCAGGGCTCAAGTCTCAGACTTGTGGTTGGGGTCCCCAGGTCTCCCCAGCGAGGAAGGTCTCACCTGACCCCCTGCCACCTCCCTCAGGTGAGTGAGGGCCCTTGCCTCTTTCTGAGGGGAGTTCTGTGTATTGCTTCCTGAAGGCACATGCATCTTTGTCCTCCCCACCAGGTGGTCATCCCCCCAAGAGCTCTGGCAACATCTGGGACAAGGCTTCATCTCCCTCCCACAAGCGGTGGCCCCAAGGAGGACCTGAGGCTGGGGGGGGGCTCATCCAGTGGATCTGATGGCCTCTGGGTGACTGGTTCTCAGGACCACCTGCCAGCACAGACCCTGGAGTGGGGGTTTGCAGCAGAGCCTGGGTCTTTCTTTGTGGGGCCACAGGCCGACCGGCATCCAATACTTGAACCCCATCCAGTGCTGAGTCAGTGTCTGATCCCAGCAGGGTGAAGGGTTCTCCAGAACTCTGAGTTTCCCTGGGCTCTGGAAGGGCCAGGAGGAGAGCCTGATACTGAAGATGGCCTGACAACATGGCTACACCCCAGATCAAAGCAGGCCTCATAGAGGGGCTAAATTTCATCCTTTCCTCCAGGGAAGGAATGAGGGAGGCCACTCAATGCAGGCTTTACCTGGCGGTGGGAGAACGGTGCAGGTGGGAAGGTCAGAGGACTGAGAAAGTCAGGTTAGTGAGGGTCAGAGCACGTGAGATCAGAGAGCACGAGGATAGGGAAGTCAGCAAAGTCTGAGACGTCACAAGCAGAAATAGAAGGGTATTCTGGGCAAATGTCAGTAGGCTGTAGCTGGTCAGGAGAAACTGACAAGAGACTAAACAAGAAAGAAAGAGAAGATTTTATTTGTGCTGTGTGTCCATGCATTTTCCACTCAGCATCCTGGGGACCCTGTGCCCGTGCCCACCTGGCACCGAGCCTGGTGGCCTCCACTGCTCTGCCACCACCAGCTTCCCACCCACCTTCCTGCCCCATCTCTGGCTCCTCGAAGCCTTGGGACAATCCCAAATGTCCAGTCCCTTTATGTGCCACCACCATATTCCACCTCTGCACCTCATCCAGGGTTCCCCAGAGGAGGGGCTCCAGCTTCTGCCCTACAGACCCCCACCCTGCAGGCACCTGCTCACTGAGGCAGGAGCCAAGGAGGCCTTGGCCATAGGCCCTTGGGGCTTAAGGGTCACAGAGGCCTCAGAGGCTTTCACTACCCCAGCCCACTTGTCAACAAGGCAGAGAGTTCCCGGGACACCCCCCTCCAGCCTGAAGGCCATCTAGTCTCCTCACTCTTGCCCCCTGCCCAGATTTCCAGCTGGGGCTTTCCTGCTGCTCTGACACCTTCTAGGTTCCAGAGCCTTATCCTGCCTCTCCCCTGTAACTAGATAACCCAATAAAATATAGGACACCCAGTTAAATTTGATTTCAGATAAACCACACAGAATTTAGTATAAGTACATCTCAAATACTGCATGTCTGAAATTCAACTTTCACTGGCACCCTATGTTTTTATTAGCTGATCTGGCCACCTTACTAACCAGCTCCTTGCTCAGCATCTACCCATCCACCTTCCAGAATCTCCCTCCTCCCAGGTGTGAAGCACAGTCTTGGCCTTAGCCAGTGGTTAGACCTTTGGGTGGAATCCAAGGAGCAGGACCAAGAACACTGGCTCCTTCCCAGACACCATAGAACACAGGGGTCAAAGGGCCAGACCTGAGGGCAGCACCTCGTCCTCAGCACCTGTGGCCATTTCTTTGTCCTGTGTCTTCCTGGACCAAGCCTGGGTTCTAAGAGCTGGGGCTGCGGCTGGGGCTGGGGCTGCGGCTGCGGCTGCGGCTGCGGCTGGGGCGTCCCTGCCCCGCCTGCCGGCGGAAGCAGTGGATGGCAGAGATGGTACCGATGCTGGCCAACAACACTGCAAGAGAAGCACAGAGCCTCCTGAGTGCCGGCTCCATCCCGGCCTGTTCACCACCTTCTACCCACATGGCCTGGTCCTCAAAGGGCAGAGGGAGGCCAGCAGGGCGAGGAGTGGGTCAGCAATGAGAGGAGCAAGGTCACGGGAGAAATCTTTGCTTCCCCACGCACCCCTCATCCCTGCTGGCCCAGCAGGTGAGACTGGACACCACTGGTCCTCCTGGGTACCAGCCCGCTCCTCCCCCAGGGCCCCCAAACCTGTTTTCCAGGCATCTGGGGTATGCAGGTCTGATGTTCTCATAGCCCAGGTGGCAAAGGCCACAAACACCAGGCACATGTCATCCTGGCTGAAGGTCAATGAGGTGAGAGGATCTCGGGGCTCCCCTAGGAGAGAGAAGCATGCTCTGTGCTCTGGCATTTCCACTCAGACTCATCTGTCCCAGGTATGCTGTGAGTCATCTTCCCGATGACACCTCTGTCCCAAGACCCAGGGTAGTGTGTGGCGTGGTTGAGTCAAGCTGACTTGAGCCAGTTGCCTCTGGGTACCATTCCCTGGTTTGTAAAGTATCTTCCAAGGGGAATGTGAGATGAAGTCTGTTGCGTGCCTGACCTGGGAGGCAGCAAGGCCGGAGTGGGAGCTGTCCCAGTGTCTACCATGCTAGAGGTGGGGGGGCAGGGCACTGCTGTCACCTGGGCCTGGATACAGAATGATGGTCAGTGCAGACAAATCCCTGAGTGGCTGTGGTGTCTGGCCTAGTCTGCCCCACCTGGACTATGTCCTGCGACGGCCAGGAGCTAGTCCATCCTTCCCAGGTCATCCCTAAGCACCCCCCCACCGGCTCATGGCTCGGGGTCCTAGCCTGCCCCTCCGCAGCGGTCCTCCTGGCTGAACTCCCTGGACAGTATGTTCCCAGGACCTGGACAGCCCATGGGGCCCACGCGACACGCACCTGCTTGCCTGACTGCCCAACTGCACTGCTCGGCTGTGTCTGGGGTAGGCTCTGGTGGGGTACCAGGCCCCATGCCCCAGGGGGCCAAGCCGGGGGGCTCTGTGGCCTGCAGCTGGAGAAGGGCAGCCAGCTCCAGCATGCCCCCCGACGAGTCCTCCCCAAGGAAGTGTTCATAGGCCTCGGGGATGGAGATGGGCACAGGGTCTCCAGGTGGAAGGGTTGGCACAGGGTCAGCCTGTGGGGGTTGGGCCACAGAGTGGCCCCCCCAGGGCCCAGACCTCTGGGCTCGACGGTCCTGGAAGAAGAATTCACACATGTCTGGCCACTGTACTTCGGCCAGAGCCTGGTCAGCTTCTGCCACCTCCTCAGCATCTTCATCTTCCTCCTCAATAGTGTCACAAAAAAAGAACTCATAGGCCTCTGGGAGGGTCACTGCAAAGCTGCTCCCGGGCCTGTGCCCCACTGAAGCAGAGGGGGAATGGGGAGGCAGGTGTTTGAGGATCCGAGGCTGGGGAGACCGGGGCCCAACTGCCATGGCGTCCCAGCCTCCAGGCCCCCCTCGGCCCCCCACTGCTGTCCTGGGGGGTGAGGGCCGGGCTGTGGCTGGTGAGGGTGGGCCTGAGGTCTCTCCTGAACCTGGCTCCTCAGGGCTGGGCACAGCCATGGAAAATCGCACTTTCTTCTTCTTGGGTGCTTGGACAGGGCCTAGTGGGGGATCCCCTGAAGGATGTCCAGCGGCACCTGCTGAAGGCTCCTCTCTGGGCTTCTCTCGGTGTCCTCCTGGAGACACAACAGGGCTCAAACATGGCTTGGCCGTTGGGGCAACCTCCACCTTCACCACGTCAGGCCCCGCCTGGGGAATGGGAGCAGGTGTTGACACATCCACGTCAGATTGGGCCTTGGAAACAAGGTGAGGCGGAACAAGTGTAGATAAATCCACCTCCTGCTTAGCCACTGGGCCTAGCATAGGCAGGTCCGTGTCCAGCCTAGACTTGGAGGCAGGTGTAGACAGAGGTGTGTCAGGTTGAAGCTTGGAGGCAGGTGTAGACAGAGCTGCATCTGACTTAGCCATTGAGATATCTGGATGAGTCTCCTGGGCAGGTGTGGACACAGTGTGTAGCTCAGCTCCGGGGGTCATGCTGAGTAGGTTTGTACCTTCCTCGGTCATAGGGACAGGTGTAGACAGATCCGGATCTGTTCCTTGCCTGGTTACCTGTGCAGGGGCTCCTGCAGACTCTGGACACAGTTCATCCTGCCCGGTTCCTGCTGTCTGCTCTGCTGTGCCAGCTGAGAGACCCTTCCCCCTGGACCCAGCCAGGCCAAGGCCCTCCTTGGGCCTGACCTCAACAAGCAGCAGGGAACCCTGCTGGGTGGGAGCAGAGCCTGGGGTACGCAAGCACCCACCCCCCTTGGCTCCAGCAGCATGCCTCTTCTTTCGGCTGGGGCTGCGTGGCGGGGTTCCAGGGGGCCTCTGGGGAGCTGTGCTGCAGCCAGGAGACTCAGAGCTCTGGGGAGGCTCACCAGGTGGACTAGGGACAGGGCCCTGGGGGGCTGGCCCCTGCAGAAGCCTCTGCATCTTGTCTCTGGAAGACACTGGCCCTAGAAGGGACAAGCTCTGGCCTAGGGGGGCAGCGTCACATCTGAGGGACTGCAAAGCTTCTGACCGTGCGGACGTGCTAGGTGTCTGCTGATCAGCCCCCAGGGCCAAGACAGGCTCACGCCAAGACCTGCTGACCAGCGACCGGGTAGCTGCCTTGTCCTCCTCCTTGAAGCCAGGCCAGCCCCTCCCCCTGGACGCTGGCTGCCCCTCGAGAAGGGGTGGAGGCGCAGGAGGACTGCTGCCACTGCTGTCCCCTTGGTCAATGTCACTGGACAAGAGCTCATCCCCAGAGGCCAGGCTGGCCTGCAGGAGGCCACACTCCTCCGTTGCGGCCGAAAACTCAGCCCAGTCCTGCTCACTCAACTGGATGCTGTACTGGAAGTTTTCCATTTCAGGTCAGCAGAGGACTTCAGCAGCAGAGCTTGAGGCCAGGCGGGGTCTTCGTGGACCCAGGTCCTGGGCACCGGCCAGCATACAATTGTTGGGGTGCCCCCCACCTCCTTGGCTCGGGGGCGGCACTCCATCTGCTTCCTGAAAGAAAGCAAAACGGGGAAACCTGAAGGAAGCTGAGTGGCTGTCCGAACCGACCCCTCCTCCAAGTTAGAAAACCTGTAACTCCCACTTTCCCTATTTCCTAACTGACCCCAAATAATAACCTTGTAATGATACATTGTTACATTCCTAGAATCAAATATGGCTTAGATTAATGACGTACACTAAAAAATAGGGGTTCCTCCTGTTTGAAATTTTGTCCCCAGAGTGGTTTTCTTCACATCTTTCAGCCTTTTCTGTTCCACTGGGTCAGCTCCGCCTTCTCCAACCTTCCTCCAGAATTGCAGGCACCAAGGTAAACTTTATACAGCAAAGCCCATTTCAAGGGTCACTCACTGGGTGATGGTCAGCCCTGGTCTGTCCCAGCACGCCTCAGGTGGCAGCAGGCCATGGAGGAGGAGCAGCGTTCAGCAGGTGACCAGCCTTTGGTGATGACCTTCCACCAGCCTTGGCTGGGACAGGCTTCTGGGCTTCCACTGAAATCACCAAGGTCACACTTGTGCTGGCTAGAGCCCACTCAGGGGTCAGCAGGGAGTGCCTGGCTCTGCCCCCTGCCTAGGCAGGAGGTCACAGAGCAGAAATGAACCTCCTAACTCCCGGTGGACCACTAGGGCCATCCTCAAGGTCTCTGCCCCTCACCCAGGCCTGCCCGGCTGGCAGAGCCCCCTGCTTCTGCCTCATCTCAGTGAACAGAGGTGACCCTAACTGCTTGAGAGCAGTGTCTTGGCCTCCTATGGGAAGAGCTCTTTGGCCTTTGGTCAGCTACCACCACACCCAGGGAGGTGAGAGGTCACTCTGGCCAGGCCAGTGCTGAGATGAAGATGCCTTGAGACCAGAGCACTGTGCCCTCCTGACGCCTGAAATTTGCCCTCCTCACTGGCCCTTGGGGAATTCCCTCTGTCTGACTTTGGGACTTCTTAGGGTGGGGATGAGGGACTAACAGTGTCGTACCTGGGACCCTGTGGCCAGCCAGGGCAACAGAGCTGGGCGTCCGAGCCGCTTGTCCCAGAGCAGCATGGTGCTGGGCTCACCACGCAGGCCCCACCCCCACTGCCAAAAATACCCCATCCCTGTGGTCACATGTCTCCTGCCAGTGGTCAGGGTCCAGGACACAAATAGATGGCATTTGAGGAGCCTCCAGCTTTGTGAGGGAGGCCATCCTGATCAGGTCAGATGCTGGCCAGAGAATGCTGACCTGCAATCCGTCCTGCACGGGCCTCCTTTTCCCAAGCTGAAGGCCACTGTGCACTTCATCTCTTGGCCCAGGCTGATCTTTCCTCTTAAAGCAGCCCCACCCGCTGCAAAACCTCAGGCCCTTTGCTAGCAACTCCATCTTCCATCCCCCCATCAACCGATGCCCTTCCGGGTCTTAGGGCTTTACCCTGTTACCTGTGTGGAAAATAAAGCGTTGCAGAGTGGTAAGTGGGAAATTACCATTCCAGAATGTTCCTAGAGGTCCTTTGGAGGTGGGCTGCTGCTGACTGGGGGTGGAATAGGGAAGCAAGGCTTGTACCTCTCTCCTCTGGCCTCAAAAGGCTCACTGGCCCCTTCCCTGGCAGCACTGCTGAACCTGCCAGTGGAGCTCAAGGGACAAGTGGGGTCATTGAGGGCTCTTGGTGGCAGGAACCCCAAGGAGTATGGGCCTTGGGCCTCTAGAGAGGGTTGGGAGGGTTCAGGGGTGGAAAGTGGGCTACACCCCACCAGACCTCTCCTGACCTAGGCTCCTGTAGATGGGCCCAAGAGGCAGGGTGCAGCACGGAGTCTGATGGTCCAAGAAAGGGAGCCTGGTGCTGCCACCCCCAGCTGAACCAGTCACCAAGAGTAGGCAGGCAGGGATGACAGGGCCTCAGAAATGGGCCTCCAGAATAACACCTCCCATTCCAAGCCCTCGTGAGCACTTTTCCTAAAACTTGTCCATCCTGAGAGGGGGCACAAAGAGGACTCTTTTTTCACAGTTGAGCTTGGTGGGGCACGGAGAGGGTGAGTGACTTGCACACGACCACACAGCTGGCAAATGGCAGAGTTGGGTCCCAAAGCCCCTACTCTTAGCCCTTCTCCAGGCCATCCTGATCTTGGGAGGCTGATATTGCCCATCCCCATGCAGGTCCCTGTGACACCCACGCCTGTGCCTTCTAGGCTAGGGGACATGAAGAGGGAGTAGGGGAGCCAAGCAGCAAACACCAAAACAAACAGGTCAACGAGATCGTTTCTGACAGAAACATAATGTAAGAAGGGAATATTGTGGCGAGAAGGGGTGCCCTGGATGGACCAGAGACTCTTCTCTGAGAACAGGGCCTTGGAGGGCCCGAGAGGGTGGGAGACAACAAGGGCCAAGGCTGTGAGGGTGACGATGACGGAAGCAGCTTCACAAAGGATGTGAGAGGCTGGGGTGCTTTGATTCCCGGTAAACTAGTCAGCATATCACACATGCAGGAAGGGCACAAATGGGGAGCGCAGCATGTAGCTGCTGCTGGACCCCACCCGCGAAGGACCCCACCTGCTGGTGTCTGCCACCTGGCCACAGTGCACAAGCCAACCTGGCCTGTAGTGAGCTTTATACGAGTGGAATTGGACCCTAAGAACATTTTTGTTCTAGTCCCCGTAGGAGACTAGACATATTGGTTTCTGCCCTGTTCCTGGCACAGAGCTATTGAAACCCTTGTAAATTCCTAAGTGATAAGAGTACCAGGACCATCTTTTGTTCTAATGAGGCAACTCCGGGGAGGCTTTTGGATGGGGATGGTCATGAGGAAGACCAGCCATGATTAGAAGCTTGCAATTTTCAACCCCAGCCCCCCATCTTCCAGAGAGGAGAGAGGGGCTGGAAGTGGAGTTAATGGTCCATCATGCCTATGTGTTCTCCCGTGAGTCTCCTGCACTACCCACACCAAACATTTCACTTCTGTGTCCCTGACACCAGCTGGGTGTCCTACAGTTTCACTCAAGTCTGACACCATTTACCTGGAGACACAGGTGAGTGCTCAGTCCCACAGGACTGCCCCCCTTCAGATGCCAGTCACAAGCAGCAGGTCCTCAGGGTACTGCCACCTTCTGTCCAGCTTGGCTACAAACCAGAGTTTCCCATGACCTCTCCATCTTGGATTCGATTAATTTACTAGAGTGGCTCACAGAGGTCAGGGAGACGTTTACTTACATTTACCAGTTTATTGTAAGAAGATATGATAAAGGGTACAGATGAACAGCCAGATCGAAGAGATGGATAAGGTGAGGTATGTGGGAAGGGCATGGAGCTTCCATACCCTGTCCAGGGTGACACTCTCCCCGCACCTCCACATGTTCACCAACCTGGAAGCTCTCCGACCCCCATACTACTGGGATGTTATGGAGGCTTCCTTACATAGGCATGATGGACCATTAACTCCACTTCCAGCCCCTCTCCTCTCTGGAAGATGGGGGACTGGGGTTGAAAATTGCAAGCTTCTAATCATGGCTGGTCTTCCTGATGACCATCCCCATCCAAAAGCTTCCCCGGAGTTGCCTCATTAGAACAAAAGATGGTCCTGGTACTCTTTTCACTTAGGAATTTACAAGGGTTTCAATAGCTCTGTGCCAGGAACAGGGCAGAAACCATTATGTGTATTTTCTATGATCTCATAGTCGGCCTCCTTTGAGCCTCAGCAGGCTTTGGAGTCGGACGCCTCAGGGGCTGTGCTGGTCAGCTTCACCACCAAGAGTGGTCCCACGTGTGGACATACACATCCCTGCATCATTTTTCTGTGGATGGAAATTTGGGTTGTTCCACTTTGCAGCCATTATAAATAATGATGCTGTGAACATTCTAGAACATTTCTTTTGAAAAACCCGTGTCCTTGGTTTTGGAGAGGTCAGCAGTTTTCCTGAGCGGCCGTGCACTCGCTCTGACAGCAGGACGCACTCGGGTCGTCTGCACGTCCTCATTATCGGTCTTTGTCACCTCGCGTCCTGGAGGCTCCGTGGTGGTGCCACACTATGGTTTTAATTCACGTTCCTTTGGTGTTGGCCACGGGCATTCCTTTTCTGTGACGGTGTGTGTCTTCTTGGTGCTTCCGCCATTTCTATGTGCCTCTTCCTTATGATCTATAGGGCTTGTGCATTCTGGGTAAGAATTATTTATTGATGTCTGTGCGATCAATATCTTCTCCCTCAGTTTTGTCTTGTCACTCTCTTCACAGTGCCTTTTGATAAACAGAAATTTTATTTTATTTTTATTATTAAAGATTTTATTTATTTATTTGACAGAGCAAGAGAACACAAGCAGGGGGAGTAGCAGGGGGAGAGGGAGAAGCAGACTCCCCGCCGAGCAGGGAGCCCAACATGGGGCTCGACCCCAGGACCCTGGGCTCATGACCCAAGCCGAAGGCAGACGCCTAACCATCTGAGCCACCCAAATGCCCTGATAAAAAGAAATTTTAAAATTTTAATATAGTCCAAGTTATCAACAACTTCCTTTACATTATTATCTTTTTCTGTCTGTTCTTTTTAAAAAAGAATTATTTCATTTATTTTTAAAGACTGATTTATTTACTTGAGAGAGTGAGAGAGCACGTGCGAGTGCAGGGAGGGGCAGAGGGAGAGAATCTCAAGCAGACTATGTGCTGAGCGCAGAGCCTGATGCAGGGCTCCATCTCACCACCCTGAGATCATGACCTGAGCCGAAATCAAGAGTCAGAGGCTCAACCAACTACACCATCCCAGCGCCCCTCACCTTTTCTGTTCTTTTAAAGAACTCTTTGCCTGCCCCAAAGTCATAAAGATTTTGTAAAGATATCCTTGCACATTTGTTTAAAGCTTTGTTATTTTACCTTTCATATTGGATCTGCAACCCACTGGTGTTGATTTTTGTGGATGGTGAGTGATGGGGATCCTGTCATACTTTTTGTTTCCATATGGACACCTAGTTGGCCCAGTGCCACATCAAGGCTCGGGGGCACACGTGGTGGGTCTATCTGTCTACTGAGACACAGCAGCACAACCCCACGTGGGGTTGGAGCCCTGCAAGGTGAGAAGTTTGGAGGGTTTAGGGCAAGAGCTTTTCAACAGTTGCCCAGGCTGCCCTGGGAGAAGAGAATACAGAGCTTGAAGGGAGGCAGGGAGGCCAGCTCTGAGGCTGTGGGGAGGGAGCAGGTGGACTAGGGTGATGGAGGGAAGGGTCTTCCCTGAAGACATGCAAGGACTAAGCTCCACCCTGAGGCCCTCATTTCCTCCTCTCCCACCGGATCATGGAGGACCTCCTTGTAGGGGGCAGTGGAGGGGGATGTCTGCTGTAAGATGAGGAAACCAGGCCAAGCTCTATAGCATCAGGATATGCTCCACAGAGATGTTACATCGCGGGGGAGACCTGGGCCAGGGGGAACAGATGGACAGATGGGCAGTCAGACACACATCCCATGGAGTGGGGATCAGAGGCCCAAGCAGGAAGAGGTGCGCATGGAGAGAAGGCAGCCTGCTGTACCCCTGGAGGCCACCTGAGGGCACCAGGACTCCACTGGAAGCAGACAGAGCTCAGCCCCTCCTGCCCTCCTTGCTCTGGTCTGGGAGGATGGATCCTTAGGGGATGCTGGGCCCCCTTTCCTGAAGCCATGTAGTCCCCTTTGAGCCCTTGACCTTGCGACAGTAGGCACTCAAAAATAAGAGAGTAAGAGCCAACTTTTAATGAGTACCTATTTATGCCAAGCAGTATGTTTTACACAGATTATGGGCTTTTAACTTAAAAAAAAATAATTTTAGGGCGCCTGGGTGGCTCAGTTGGTTAAGCGACTGCCTTCGGCTCAGGTCATGATCCTGGAGTCCCAGGATCGAGTCCCGCATCAGGGTCCCTGCTCAGCAGGGAGTCTGCTTCTCCCTCTGACCCTCCCCCCCTCTCATGTGCTCTCTCTCTCTCTCTTTCTCTCTCTCAAATAAATTTTTTAAAATCTTTAAAAAAATAATTTTATTGAGGTATAATTTACATACAATAAACTGCACATATTTGAGTGTGAAATTTGCTAAGTTTTGACATTTGTGATGCCCAGGAAGCCATCACCACAATCCAGAGAGTGAACATGCCCATCACTCCTAAAGCTTCCTGTGCCCTGGGTGATGCCTCCTTCCCCTACTCTCAAGTTAACCATCAGTCTGCATTTGGTCACTATAGTTAGGTGACATTGTCTAGAACTTCATGTAAATAGGATTATAAAGTATGTACTCATTCGTACAGTGCAGAACAGTACAGTATGTCTGAGTTCTGTGACTCAGCATAATTTGAGATTCATCCATTATATTGTACCAATAGTTCTTTTTTTAAATAAGGATTTTATTTATTTATTTGAGAGGAAGAGAGAGCATGAGTGGGGAGAGGGGAAGAGGGAGAGGGGGAGAGAGAATCCTAAGCAGGCTCCATGCCCAGCACAAAGCCTGATGCAGGGCTCGATCTCACTGAGATCATGACCTGAGCTGAAACCAGGAGGCAGAGACTCAACCAACTGAGACACCCAGGCACCCCTCTTTTTTTATATATTAATACAGAGTATTTCATTGTTCGATATACCACACTTTGGTAATCCATTCACCTGCCAATGAACATTTGGTTTATATCTAGTTTGGGGCGATTAAATATAAAGCTGCTGTGAACATTTGCGTTTAAGACTTTGCATGGACATGTGCTTTCATTTTTCTTGGGTAAATACTTAGGGTGGAATGGCTGGATTATATGACAGGTATATGTTTAACTTTTAAGAAACTGCCAAACTGTTTTTTAATGTAGGTACAATTTTTCATTCCCATCAGAAATGTTTGAAGGTTCCAGTTGCTCCACATCCTTGTCAACACTTGGTATGATTGGTCTTTTTAACTTTATTCCAATAGATACACAGTGGTGTCTCATTGTGAATTTAATTTTAATTCCCTTAATGACAAATGATGTTGAGCATCTTTTCATGTGTTTATTTGCCATTCATAGATCTTCATCTATGAAATGACTGATCAAATCTTTTGCCCATTTTCTTAATTGGGTTACTTGTTTTCTTATTGTTGAGTCTACAGAGTTCTTTATATGTTCTTCATATAGGTTCTTCATCAGATATGTGATTTGAAAATATTTTCTCCTAGTCTATGGTTCATCTTTTTGTTTTCTTAACAATGTCTCTTGAAGAGCAGAGGCTCTTAATTTTTTTTTTAAGATTTTATTTATTTATTTGAGAGAGAGAGAATGAGAGACAGAGAGCATGAGAGGGAGGAGGGTCAGAGGGAGAAGCAGACTCCCTGCCGAGCAGGGAGCCCGATGCGGGACTCGATCCCGGGACTCCAGGATCATGACCTGAGCTGAAGGCAGTCGCTTAACCAACTGAGCCACCCAGGCGCCCGCAGAGGCTCTTAATTTTGATGAATTCCAATTTATCCATTTTTCTTTCATGGAATTTTTTTTTTTTTTTTTGGTGTTGCAGCTAAGAAAACTGCCTAACCAAAGTTCACAAAGATTTTCTAAGTTTTCTCCAAAAAGGTTTATAGTTTTAGATTTTGCATTTAGGTCTATAATCCATTTTGAGTTATTTTGTGTATATGGTGTGAGGTAGAGATCCAAGTTATTTTATTTGCACGTGGATGTCCTGTTGTTCACATACTATT